ATAGCAATTCACATTATTGCTGAAACAATTAGTTTAGTAACAGCAACTTACCCGTTTGAAGGAATAGTTCACCATTTTGGTAAATATACTTTCTTTTGAAAGTTAGAAGATTGATGCCAATTTAATGTCTCCATGTTTAATATGGGGGTAGAGCTTAGCTTATTTTAAAGATCCAAACCACTCAAAAATGTCACACCTTGACTTTACTGACTTGTATCTGTGCACTAGAGAAGTGCTTTTACATCCCTGCACTGGAGGAGAATATGTCTGTGCACTTCCCTAAAACCTGAGATTCAAACGTACCCTGGGCAAGCTATATTTGGTGCATAACAAATTCAAAAGCCAGTCGCTCTCTGACAAATGCCACTGGCAGAGCAGTGCTTCCTTCCACTATCAACTATGTAATAACAATCTAACAGTGAACACACTGTAACACCAAAGCAGATATTACATGTTTCCAACCACTAATGCTGTGTCAGCCACTGCCCATACAAGCAAACCAACAATATAAACAAATAGAAGATGCTATGCTGTAAAAAGTTAACTTACCAATACTTCTAAAACTCACAATTGAACACATTGTATCTCATTTGTAGAATCCGCACACACACTGAAATGAATAACAGTTGGTGATTTTAGTTTATTCATTTGCCCAGCAGTTCTGTCAGACCCAGGAGTATGAAGTCCATAGATGTATATGAAGTTATAGCTTAAGTACAGGCTCAAGACATATACTACAGAAAAAAGACCCAACCGAAAAACCTTACACCATAGATAGACAAATAAAATACTATACACATATATGTATCAGGGGTTTCCCTCGGTTTTGTGAGGGCTTGGGGCTTTTTTGACTAAAAACTAAAACTAAAATATGACTATTATCATTACAATATCTATTGAAAAAAACCCTAAGTTGTAGGTTTTCACATCACACGCAGACATTAAGAAGAAAAAGGTCCTGAACTGATTAGAATTTATTTATATATTAAATATGAATAAATATTGTTTCTAGAGCAGCAACAGTAACAACAGCAAAGTCACTATATAAACTTAATAGCACCTCACTGGGGAAAAAAAACCTAAAATGTCAGTAAAATAAATAGTACTCCTCAGTCCTTCCTCCATTAACAAGTGCACTGTAGTAACAACTGCAGACAAAGCAGGAAGAAATATTGCTTTTCTACTTAAGTTGTCATCAACTCCAGTAAACTGCACCGGGCCTCTGTGCTGTCGCATTCTTTTAAATATACATGAAGCAAAGCCTGTAAGCTAGTTCAGGCAGTCAACTCAAGCTGCACTGCTATACACACATGGCATGCCTCACTCTCCATAATGACAAACCAAGCACACCCTACCAATCTGTCTATTTTAACTGCAAAATTTCCCAGCTCTCCCTCTGCTCTGTCAATGGCGCTGCTGCCCTGCATCAGTATTGCTGCCTGTCGTTCTGTAAGCCCGACCACCACCCCAGCATCCACCTGTAGGCTAGGGGGTTTAAAGGTATTTGCTCATCACTCCCCAATATCTCTATGTAAACATATCTGCGGGGAGTGATGCGGTCGAAGTCTAGATGCCAAAATCTAACTATGCTAAACTGCTGTAATAAACATTTCAAACATGAGTTGTCTAACTGAACTTCAAGTTCAGGATTTGATTTTTACCTGCTTTTTGCACTGCAGACTAAATATAAAATAAATAACTTTAAGGGTTTTGGACTATTATTCAAACAAACCAAGCTATCAGAAAATGTCACCTTGGGATTTGTGATGGGAATTCTACTTTAAATATTTCAGAAGTACTCTTAATGGTAGAAGACTGTGAACACAGCCCCTAGCTGGTTTAATAGGAGACACCCGCTACCAAAACCCCACCTTCATTAAAATTCACACCATTTGCTTCCTCAGTCGGCATCCTGCTTTCGTTGTCATGGGAAACCCATCCCTTTTAACGGTCAAAGGCTCCAGATTCATTATAAGCCTTTTGGTGCCGTTTTATTCGTCTGTTCTATTCATCTTTAATTAAAATCAAAGAGCTACATAACTGTCAACAAATGACTGCAGTAAATTATCTGTCATTAAATTACAGCAGCATCAAGTTAATGGCAGTAGTATCAAAGACTTATTTGTATCAGTCTCTATATTAGATTATGCATCTCCAGTCTAAACACAACATGCAGAAAACCTCTGAGAAAATCTTGACAAAAATTGCAAAATTAAGGCTTTTTCTTCCTGTTCTACTTTACAAAATGTAGAAAATTACTGTTTTCATCCTAGTTACACTTCTCAGTTCCCTGACAGAGGTTCAGGACCAGAGTCAGACTCAGCTGCACGTTGGATTTATCCACCAGACAATGATGAGTACAATGTCCATAATGGTGAAAAAAATCAATTAGGATTTAGGCACAATTCTGGGTTTATTATTAGATTAATCCCACAGTCTTCTGATGCATGAGAGTTAAGCCGTCTGTGGTGATATCATGGCGGCTGTCTTCTCTGGCTGCCTGTCCCACCGAGAGTGCTATTCTTCAGTATGCATAATGTTAGCATAATCCTCGGCCAGCGCCTGACCCTCTTTCCACCTGTGCCTTCACACTTTTGAGGCAAACGCTAAATCCAGAGGAAATTTCAGCCAGAGAGGAAGAGAAACCCTCCCATAACCTCACAGTTCTTCAGGAAAAGGGAAATGAACCCTGAGTGGATTATCTTCAGCCAAAGCCTGGCATTATCTAATGTGGTGGTTCTCAAGAGTTTTAGCCCATGAACCCTACAAAGTCTGATTTGTGATCCCCCAATGGGTGCACATATGCAGAGTGGGGTGATGAGTGACAGGGATTTTAATACATTACCTACTCCATCTGGATTTTCTTTTACCACTTTACAAAAAAGGTTGGACTTTAAATACTGGTAAAATTACCATTACTTCTTAAAAAATTACCTTATGACTCTACAAATCAGCCCAAAATTCATTGTATTTGTATCAAGTATGTTGCAGAGACAAAAATATGTTCACACAGCTACATTGTTGGGACTCAAACTGGTTCCCACGAGGTAAAAATTGGTGAACAATCACACAGAATAGTAGATATTAGAAGTTGTTATTGTTTTGTGTTGCTGTTTAAGGCTTGTTAATATCAGTGACGTCTCTCAACAATAGGGTATAAACTATTAAATTATGAAACATGTATATTTCTGTGGCAAAAAAAAAGTCAATTACTTTTCATGTCTTGTTGCATCACTATGTTTCTAAACTGCTGATCAGTTAAGAAACACAAAAATGCTTATTTTCCATCTGTCAACTCTTCAACTATGCACCTGAAAAATCCACACAGGGCAAGTGCAAGGCAAGTCTCACTACAGGTTTTGTACACAAACTGTTTATATTATCCTGACCTTAGGAGCCCATCACACAGACACAGCTACATATGCGTCACCTGCATAACCATTGTTTTCCTATGGTACAATGCTCCTGTCTTGTGCCGTGCATCACAGTTTCCTAAAGCGCATAAAAGTTGAAATATTTTCACTTTTTCAAGGGGCAGAGTCAAACCACTAATCACTGTCTCACTTAGCCCAGACACCCAATCAAATTAAGCAAAAGGCAGGCTTTACTACTTCACCACTTCCTTCCCATTTTGATGCTGCATACTATTCCGGTTAGCTAGAGAACTAGTCAGCTGCTGGGCTGTGAGAGAGCTATGGAGCAGGGGTGTAGTGGGGGGTAAACCCAAGTAAACTCAGTTATCCACCTCTTTGAAATTAAGCAAAAGTTTACTCATCTAGAGCTCAACCAGCTGTTTTTTTCCCAACGCTCTATGCCAAGGCCTTTTTAAGGTGGCTACGCCTGTATAGGTGCTTCTCTGTGTGATCGGCTAGTGTGGTAACACAGATGGGCAAATTGGCAATTTCTATTGAAAAGAAAATATTGGCTCACCTATTGCTTTAACTTGAAAAAAAGTTTCTATTTGTTCTTTCCTCCCATTAACAATCCAAACCTAAATGTAGATTGAAGTGACAGACTTTGTTCCTCAGCAGCCAAAAAAGTTGGACACATGGCAATAAATGCCACCAAACATCAATAATCCAGTCTGGCTTTGGACCAGGTTTGGCTCTTCACACTCTCAAAGGGTTTAAACAGTCTTTCATGATCAGGCTTTCTAATACATATTGTACCTGTGAATCAACACTGGACCGCCCACCCACCTGCTGCGGCCCATTACTTAGACCAGACTGAAAAAAGGCAAAGGCCTATAGACAGAGCAGGGAAATCCTGCTTAATGGTCACAGGGCCCAAGAGTGCTTTAGAGATGAAGCATAAAGGGAGGCTTTTACTGTTTTCTGATAAATGGGAAATGGACGAATCCATAAATCTGCTAGATTCAGTCGGTGCCGCAGGGCTAAGTAATTAAATAAGTCATGTGCCAGTTGGCACAGACTCACCCCAGACTCCCCTCCTCCGATGTATCTAGCCAGGCAAACAACCGGGCAGCTTAAAAATTTCCTTTGTTGCTGGTTAATTGGCTTTCTGTGGCGTCTGCCATCGGCATTTGCATTACACAACAACAGAGAAACCAAGGAAGTCTTTGTGTTCCATGAAAACATGGTATCATCAACAAAGAGAAAAGATCTTTGCCATCTGTCGTGCAGGGAAATGCTTGAATGGTGATAAGGACATTATTTTAAAAATGTATTAATATGAACAAAAACTCAGATTGCACCATATTTAGAGGGTAAACTCAGCTTTGAAAACAATAATACACATGCAGTCTGGCACACACACACACACACACACACACACACACACACACAGAGTAATACAGACATCTGTTGCTGCTTTTGGGAATTTTTATCCTCAGGAATTTTAGGTTAATTAAAATTCCCATTACTTTCTGTTTTTCAATTAAAAGCAACAGCACACTAACACCCTCAAAACCCAAATGTCCTGATATTGCGAGCATCATCATTTTTATTCAGTTAATAAAAGTTCATACTGAGGTGACTCACCAGTCTGCAGTCAAACAGTGCTCTCTCATTGGTTAATGTCCCAAAAATTGTTGGCTAAAAAGAGAAAAAAAGAGAAAGTTCTGTTACTTTCATGCACACACAGAAACATAATAAGAAATCATTAGTCACTGGTATTGACCAGCAACACTTTCAACCCCTCACATATCGAGTATATTGTGCTCATTTTATGCAATGAGGCAGGGAAAATCACAGTAATTGATTTTCCAAAGAGAAATCACTGAGCATGCTTTCTTTTTCTCCAAATAGCCTCCAAGCCATTTAATAGTGATCCAACTTGGACTTAGGGTCTGTCATATAACGCATAGCTTTCTGAAGGGACTTTTCAAGGTTTCTGCTTATATCCCGGGAAATCCCAATTAGGCAAGAGAGGTGGTAAAGCTGAGAGGGAAAATACAGCAAGTCCAAGTTACTTTGAATTACACAAACTTGTTTTGCATTATTGATGCCAATTAACTTAAGACACAGTCTGAAGTAAGTTTATGCATCTCCATCTTGTCTAGTTTTCTTCATTTCTGCAGCAAGGTGGAGCCTGTGTGGAGCTGAGGTAGAGCAAGAAAGCGACAAGAGCCAGAGTTTGGTTTGTCTGTTCTGGACTGCTGTACAAGCATGCCGATTGAACATGGTGGTCTCTGTAGAAGAGGACCTACTCCCTCTGTAGATAAAAATGTCTCATTCTAAGGTAACGAAAAACACAATTCTTATTTTAAGGTGATTATATATTATATGTATTATATACTAATGAAAAAAATAATATTATAATTATATTAATATTATATTAAATTCCTCCAAATAGATCCTCCTATATGGTACACAATGAATCTTGAACAGTTAAATAAATAAATAAATAAGTTGGAAATCTTGTGGTGAGTGGGGTTGTGGAGAAATTCATGACCTCTGTATTTCCACAGTCCCTGCTACAGTCCTGAACTTGGCCTTTTGCTGTAGCCAAATTTATTAAAGATAGATAAGTCTCTGATTGACAGTGAGAACACTATGTGACTTGTCTTCGTTGTGACTAGACCTCTTCAAGTCATATTTTTGACCATCTACTGAACAACAGTCGCTCCAGTCTCTCGGACACAGCTGATCGTACAAGGTAAAACCAATAAATCTTTTGGCACAAAGCTGCAACCAAGCGGAAACCTGCTGAGCTGTGGGCATTGTAGCTAGAGCAAACTGACGGCACTGGGGAAAATAATGACACTAATAAAAAATCTAAATTTATTACAGCGGGACAGGTGCCTTTGCAGAGAGTAATGGTAGTTATCTGCATTTAATGTGGGCCTGAATATGGGCAGCACGTACAGGCTAATTAAAGATGAAGTTTTAAATACAGAAAGAGCCGACAGAGCAGAAATAAGTGCTTCCCTTTGCAAGTCAGATGACGAGCCAACACTGAACAAAGAAACATACATCAGCCAGATCTCAGTGTGTTCCTCCACACAGTCATGTAGTCTTCACACGCAGAGGAATAACTGGATTAAAAGAAACAAGGCATGCTCTCCAAACCAAGCATATAATTAACAGTGTTTGTCCCAGAATTCAGAGGCAGAGAGATGAGACAATAAACAAATATTTCCTTTCTGTTTGCATGGAGGAATTATGGAGAGCAAACAGAAGTGATTTCACAGACTCTTGATTCAGCTCTCTTGTTATTAGCATCCACAACTCTTCAATTAATCACTGAGAAAGCTGGAGTAAAAAAGAAGGGGAAAAGGTATACTCTTCTATAAGTTAGCCCTGCTGTTGCAAACATTGAAAGCACAGAATATTACTGAGTAGAAATTTAAAAAAAAAAGCAAAAGTAAAGTTTCTCCTTTCTTTTCCAGCAGAGTGAAAAATAACTGAAAATGACCCAGCAGCCACCACTTCCATGTGCTCCTGTCAGGGTGGGCATTCAGTCAACTTTAATCTCCTCAAGTTCAGCACTGGCAGGGATTTATGGGTAAAAGCCTACAGCTGCATGCTGTTGCATAACTCAGCCCTATTAGCCAACCTGTTTCTCTGTGACACAGAAACAGGAAATCAATGGGAAAGGACACTTTGATGCTGCCACGGTAGATGTTGTATTTGTTCTCCTTTTTGGTAATGTGAGTGCGGGTGAGCGTAGATGTGCGAATACTTTTATGTACAGTATTGTTTGTGTGCAGACGAAGAAACCTTGAAGATATTTTTACTGAATAATAGAGTCAAACATATGATGCTGAGATTAAAAAAGGAAATTATCTCTTCTCAGGAAATGGCTTGTCTGATGCCATAATAACGTATAGAAGAAATCCTCTTAACCCATATTAGTGAAAAGAGGGATTAAACAGATTAAATCCTGGAGGTTGCGAGCTGTTTGCATTATCTAGCCAGAGGATCAAGTGATCAACTAATATTTCACAAATTCTGAGTACAGCCGCCTTTTACTGTATGTGGCAGCCTAAAGAAACCATTATACAGCTGTAGCAGACTATACCAGCAGCAATAATTCCCAAAACCAAATGGCACGAAATGAACTAGACCATTTGTGTTCTTGATCAGGCGTCAGGAATGGACATTTTGTCTCGGCGTGACCAGTGTAATCTCAGACCCTTTTGACCCCCTGCTGTGCCAGCATACTAGCTGTTCCCTAATATCACTTATCCTTATTAGTTATTAATACAGGCTCAGGCTGAGTTCTATGAATCATTTATGGGGTAGTGCAGAGACTAATTGAAAAGAAAGAACAGATTGTGGTAAAGGTCATCTGTTCAGTGTGCTTTTTAGGAATTATGAGGGGGAAGCAGTGAGAGCTGTTACAAGAAAAGTCACAAGGTTATTTTTTAGACTGCAGCTACTGGCAGGGCAGCCACAAACAGCCTGAATATCAAGTAATCCTATTTCAGTGTTAAATCCATTAGCACATTTATAGAGAAACATGTTGAGTTTCTGTGCCACCTACAGTGTTTAGCTGCCCTCTTGAAAGTTTCATCTCAAACCACATCCAGCTCATGGGTGTGGTCAGAAATGTGCTTTGTTGCTGTTGCACTCAACAGTGATGTACTATTACTTATAATAGTAATATATATTACTATTACAATGTGCTTATTACTGCAGAAAAGACAAGATTTTCATTGTTCATTTTACTCTTTCAAAAGATTGTTAAACACCATATATATCCACACATGAATATACATTTGTTTTAATTTTAAGCTACTCCAACACACAGATGTGTGTCCTGAGCTTCATTTCTAAAACAAGTTCAATTAAAAATCATAAGACAGCGGTTGTGTCTGGCTTTGAAAGACCCTTATATTACAATCACACTAACTTGCAAGCACTAGCTGCTTACATTAAATTGTACAAATACAAATGCAAATGAAATGTGTTTATAAGACAACCAACACTTGGTAGAAGTACTATATTCTGACAGCTAATCGATAGCCTGCCAATAACATGTAAAAACATCAGATTACTGAATCACATTAAAATGTAGTCGTCTGAAATCAGAGGTGGCCACCTAGTGAGTACTCCTCTGTACCGATGGGTGACATTGACTGTGAGTTTGGCACATGGAAACAAAGAAAGGATGCCAAGAGGAAGGAAGCAATAAACAAGCACACATTTAGTGAACAACAACACTTAACAGGAAACCTTTAGATCATCCTCTGTGCCACTCAGCACTTTCCTTTCTCCCTGTCATAAGATGATTGCTTTGGGGACTTGGACCTCAAAGCAGTACTATTACCTGTGACCTTTGACCGGTAGCATCTTACAGCCACAAAGCCACTGATAGAGGATGACCACTGATCTATGACATCTGACGAAAACTGGGATATTATCTTGATGACAGGGAAGGCCTGAACTCAAGGTGACCCGGTAAAGTTGGATTTCCATGTTTACAACCTAATGGAGACCAATAGGCTATGACCCCACTAACCTCTCCTCTTCATCCTAAATGATTAGACCTGCAAAATCAAGTTGCATTCTGTCATACACATACACTTTGTCTAATTAGTCATCTCCGATTAACCTGCACACTAACCCTGTAGCACATATGAAAAACTTCATACAGCTTTTTCCAATAAATGTGTCATGGACATGCAGTAGAAGTTTAGTCAAAATTTTGTTAAAATAAAGGTTATATAAGCTAAGATGAAATTTTAACATAATTTTCCCAGTTTTAATAGAGGCTTGGAGCTCTTCATAACTTTGCGAGACAGCTGCACTGACAAGATCACAAAATCAAGCAAGAATCCATCTTTCCGGGCTTCAATTTATGCTTGTGGCCTGTACATTGCAATGTACTGATTGGTCCAATACCATGGTACCATGGTCAAAGAATTTTTTGAGGAAGGAATGATAGCTATTGTTGATTTGATTGGTAAATGTTCGCCCATGATACAAGGTGATAGACAAATAGTTCATCCAAACACCTGCCAAGTATTTTTGCCTGCCTGAAAGTGCCCACCTTTTGCTGTCAGGTTACATCTAACCTACCAATAACCAAAGGCCCTTGAGTTTTTACTAAATTCCTGACAGCTGGTCTACCTTGATAATGTTTGCTTAGCTAAATTGCTGTTTTATGAAATCCAGTTTTTCTAAAGTCACTGACATCAGATTTGTTAATTCTGATTTAAACTATCAAATAATAGTCAAATGTTTAAACCCAAGCTGTGCCATGATCAGCCGCTCCAATACCTTTATGATACATAAAAAAGCTGCTGTGTTCAGACAGGCGTTGTATAAGAATGTTTGGAAGCCCACAGTTCAGTGCAGATTTAGACAAGTATCTAGAGGACCTTTCTCTACAAAGGAACTTCAAGTTACGTAACAAAAACCATCTCAAAAAGAGAGGGGCAGCCTGTGCCAGATTAGGTCGTGTACACACTGGGGAAAAAAACATCTTCAAATCCCCAAATACTGTACAGTAGAAGTCATTTCAATTCTCATTTTATCCCAAAGCAATTTCAGGTCTCAGTTGTCTTCAACTTTAACTGACCCTGTTAGGACTGACATTTTTTACAGTGCATGAAAACTTGAGATGTCGAGTAACTCTCACCCTGTAC